ACCGTCTCCTTTCAGGCTTTTGGAAAATGGTATTCATTATATAAAACCTTTCCGATTCCGCAAATTCCACTAACGCCTGCCCTTTGCTGTTTCGTGATCCGTAGCATTTCTGACCCACAAACTCAGATCGCATTCTTTCTCCTCCTACACGTGCGTTGAAATCGCCAATCAAAATGTCGTGTGCATAACGCCCTTGTGATATCGCGCTGTGGAGCTCATCGAGAAATTCTTCGTATTCTTCCTCTTGCCAAGGGGCGTATGCTACAGTTACTCGTAACGATTTTCCGCGCAGAACGAAATGAATTTGTAGTAAACGGTCGGAGAGGAACTTTACGCTTGTGCAATGTCGATGTAATCGCTTATTCACAAGTGCCCCAATTCCCCTGCGAGTAACTTCTCCTCCCGTTCGCCCGCTGTTGTAAAAGTGTAATCCAGAAGACATGCGCTTTGCATGGAAGTTGCCGCTGCGGCGTGTTTCGCAAAGGCCAACAAAATCAAATTTTATCAGTTTTAATTCTTCTTCAAGCGCTGTCAGTCTTTCCTCCGATGACAACGAACGGATATTCAAAAAACATACTTGAATCTGCTCTCGGCGTCTCTGGATCCTGCTCTTCTTGACTTCAATGGATGCCATACGGTGGGCCAGCCACGGCTTCTTCCACTGGCTTCATCACTCAAAAAACAAATAATTCTACATAGATTGGGTAAGTAGTAAAATTTTACAAATTAGCTATGCTTATTGTGGGAAAATATGAATGGAAAGAACATCATCTGACAAAGAAGAACATCGATTTTGATTTGAACAGTTTTAAGCTGTACTGTACCTATAAAAAATGAAATGAAATAACAATCAAGGAAAATTCAGCATTACGGAATGGTTCACTTTGGTCATTATATTTGACTATTTTATAATAACTTCTTTTCTAGTAAAAGTTAATAAACTTTTCTACTATTTATGAATGCTCGGCATAATCCTTTCACAATAGTACCGAAAGATATGGACTATGGTTTTGGAAATTAGAACATTTTAGACTTGAATGACAGTTCAGTGTTCTATCCCCGTACGCGACAATATTTTTTGCAGGGAGAAAAAACGATATCTTTGAAGCGTAAAAATTGTTTTTGAATAAAAAGCTTACTTTCTATCTATCACAAAGGTTTTCCTGCGAAAAAATCGTTTTTAGCATCGCCTTTTAGAACGATGCTAAAAACTTGCATGAGCACGGTACTTTGAAAATTCGTAACTAAGGTCAGGAAAAGACTGAGGCTGTAGTGAGTAGGCTGTGTAGTATTCTGCCCATACTCTCGGAGAAAAAATCAGCCATTGATTTGCACTGAGCTCGAAAAAATCTAGATGCGACTCTCGCAAGTTTAGATGCGATCCTAAAAAGCAAAAACTGGAATTTTTAAGCTTGAAATTTTGTAACTCACCGGAGAAATTATGAAACAGCCTAAAATTTTTATGATAGAAAGTAGGAGGATGGCCTCGTAATACAGCAAAATTGCAGCGAGCAGGCCTCCATAGCGGCGAAAAAATATAGATGCGACCCAGATACGACCCCCCCCCCTTTTTTTCATTTTTTGTTGCCACTTATAAAATTTTTAAAAAATCCACAGACTATGAAATATAACCAGATTTTGCACATTTGTAACAGAGCCTCTCCAAAGTACAGGTATAAGCTCCTGCGAGACGAAGGCGGTCGGTTCGGTGTGCAACGCGGCTGCGACATGGCTGCGTCACAGCCGCGTCACAGCCGCGTCACAGCCAAGTCGCACATCGAACCGACCGCCTTCGTCTTGCAGGAGCTTATAAATTGTATGGGCCCTTGATAGACATAACAAAAAAGTTTCAAAAATTATCGATGGTCATTGCTGGTAGAGATGAGCGCTTTGGTCGAGAGTGTGAGACTTCAGTGATGCTTCGGAACTAGATTTGTAGGCCAATTGGTACATTTAATATTCTTGTCACACATACGTGCCAGTGTTTGAGTTTCTGAAAGTGTCTTCGGAATCTTCGGTCATACTTGTAGCCAGCAAGTTCGATCCCCGTCTGCGACACCTTTTTTGCAAGGAGAAAAATGCTGTTATTGAAGAGTAGAGAATGTTTGCTATTAAAAAACTTATTTTCTACATTCCACACTTTTAATTCGGACCACCCTCTCTTACGACCTCCCCCCCCCCCCGTTGCGACAGTCGCATCACACGCTTGACCCTGGCTTGAAAAGATCCGAGCAGTGTCAAACGATAAAGAAAGAAGCTCTTGTCATAAATATGGCTGAAGATTCCTATCAATCAGGGAATTCTTTTAATGGTACTATCTTTCCTGATCTTCTCACGCACAGTTTTGTTATGATAATTATTCAGCCTGACGTTTTGGCAGTAACGAAGATAGTAGATAGTATTAGCACAGTCAGATTTTTGAAGGAACAACATATGAAAATTTCTTATTACTAGTATTAGAATTTAACTATTATTTTTCGAATCTGAGCACGGCTGAAGGCGGCAAATGGACAAAAAGAGCTAGCTTTTGAAACGAACTAGCCTTTGCCACTTTCGATTCTTACGATTTCCCACTTGATCACGCCGGCTGTGTGGGTTGTTTAATCAGAGCGCGCTTTGTTGTTGTCGTCGTTGTAAATTCTGGTTGCAAACAGATATGTGTAAAAAATTTGGAAACTATGTGAACTGAATGTGCCAGTCTTAAGATAACATTTGGTGGGAATATGTACACCCAATTTTCAAAAAAACTGGGCACGCTCACCTTTTGCATAAGTACACCATAATTTACCATACTTCGTTACTTAGTCAGATGCGCGTGTACACACCTTCGTGCCATATCGTCATCTGTTCATTGCAAACGAATATTTCCATTTCTGGTACAGGAAAATCCTTAGATACAAGCTTGCCATATTTAGTTATAATACATGAATTTTCCTTAATACGCGGCGGCTTTAGGCTCTTCCTTGCCCTTGTCCTTTATACACCTAATTCGGAGTCAAATCGCTGTGTGCGCTGTAAGTGAGACAGTTAATTACTACTTAATGGAAAGATTTTGGGATTTTCGAAGATGTCGCGCGAGCACGATCGTGTTTTTGCACCACAGACGTGTAGCGGTTTGTCGGTAGAGTGCTTATATAATGTAAACGTGCTTACCCTAGAATGATTTCCAGTTTGAAGTTTGCCACCCTCGTGACGGTGCCTGTGCCAAATCGGGACTTTTTGATGCGGAAAAGCTCATTGTCCCATCAAATGCATCACTCGAAAGCTTGAAACGTGTGGAATCGCAATCTTTATTCCACTTCTCCTGAAAATTGAGCAAATATTGTGTGATCATTTCTCTTTTGAAAGGAAGAGGGAGTGCTGAAAAGAAAAGACGGTCTACATTTATTGTGCTAGTGTTGCTTAGTGATACAATTATAATAAGGTATCTTCATTCTTTTTGCGAAAAATCCTGGGAAAAACAAGTATATTTTTAGTTGAATTGACATATATCTTCAATTAAAGGCAGGAAAAAAGACTGTTCAATCGAATCCTCTTTCGTGAACCATGAAGCCCTTGAATGGCGTACAAACTGATAGGTGAAAAAGCTTGTGGCTTTTGGAATATGTGGTAAGTCTACTATTACTACTGACTTGCTCCACGTCCCCTTCGATGGCATGGCTTCCATGGGTCACCGGACCAAGGTTTTTTTGCAGCGGGAGAGCTCGAGCTTCGATAATTAATTACCATTCGGTAGTTCAGAACCCAAGAAATCCATCCAAAAGTTCCGACCAGGTTCCCCTATGTAGGTAGTGCCACGCTACCTACATAGGGGAAACTGGTCGGCAACTTAGCGTGCGTGTTAATGAACACTTGGCGAGTAAGAGGCGGGAAAGCATGGCCAGTCCGCTAGGGAAACACAGGAAAGTAGACCACTACGGCAACGACTTCGATATCAGGTGCATCATCCTAGGTCACGAGTCAAAAATTGCTACTCGCAAAGCGCTTGAAGCGGCATACATTCTCTCGCGCGAACCGAAACTGAACGGGAAGAATGAACAGCTCCCCATCACAAGTGATTCGATGCCATTTCTGTCATACTGTCACTTATAGATATCATCTCCACTACTACTTAAGCTGTCCATATCGGTCAGCTATAGTCTTTTACCACCAGTGGAGTTTAAACGTCGTCGTTGCGCTGTCGGTGGAGTTCCTGGTATGCTACTTGTCGTGTAATGTCTCCGCTTGTTTGCTGCTAGGGCGTCGAACTAGGCTTAAGAGGAGAGATTTGATCATATAGGGCAAAAACTAGTGTGAGACTTTCTTTCAGGTCTCTGAGGAAGGCATTATTGCCGAAACGTTAGACTTAGACCTAATAAATATCTTAACAAACCTACGTGGCTCACAAGAAAATTTATGATTACAAGACAATGCCCAGGTTTCATGACCATAGAACATATAAAAAACATCCAAGAGTTTTTTTTTCTAGATTCTCTGTAAAGCAAAATATGAGAAATTTCATCCAACTACTGAATATGAACTAACGTTCTGTGGTTATTCACCATTTCCGTTTGCTTACAATTAGCTGAATTCTCCCAAAATGTTTAGAGCATAGCGTTGTTGAAATGCCACATCTGAGGGACACAGCCTTACATGGATTCAAAGCAGACATTTTTTTCTGCTATGCTTGTTGAAAATGCAGCTGTGCGCTGGTTAAAAAGAAGCAACAGCCGGCTTTTTTTTCAAGCAGAAAGTTTGCCATTTTTGCCATCTTACCTTGACCTCTATCTCACCCTCAGATGAAGGGCTTCATTCGAGTGATGGCCCAAAAGCAAAGCGTATCAGGAGACCTGCTTCAGCTATCGCAACCATGATCCTAAAACGCTCGTAATGATAGCGAGTCGAATATGCATCTCAGGCACACACCTATTGCAAGATTATGGCTCGGGTGAAAAAGTTCCCGCAATCCGCACGCAAACCATGGGCTAATTCTTTTGAAAGCACGTCAATCCTCTTTGAAGGTTGACGCAGTGGTCACCATTCTGAATGAACAGGAGAAGAAGGAGTACATGCAGCTGAATGAAAAAATCAAGGTGGGACATGATATCGTTGAACTCTATTACATCTCGTAATTAAACGCTATACTTATTAGGAAAAAGAGGATGAGATGCTGTCGAAGTTCATGCCTGAGGAGGAAGAAGAGGAGAACAAGGAATAGATAGTCAAATTATTGTGATAAGTGTTTGCTAAAATTGTAATGCGGAGTAATAAAGTACGAGCAGCTTGGCTTACCTTGATAACATTGGGCAAAGGAAAATTAAACGTGTTGTAGAGGTTCATTCTACTTGTTCATGTGTTTTTCAGAACTAACATAAACATGTACGCTCCATTTGCACAAACAAAAGTAATTGAAATTCATTTTGCTCTCATTGATAAATGAGTTCTTGTGCAACACGCATATATTGTAGGGCAGTATCATGCAAGAAAATTTGCAAGAGTCATGTGAATTGCGAGGACTACCTATATATCAGAAAGTCGCGAAACTTTTGCCGCTTAAAGCCAAAAACTGTTGAAATAAAGTTTGAACAATTAATGTTGAAAGGCGTCTAAAACACGATCGAGCAGGAGGGTGGACACGACGGCGGATACCACTTCCCCCTCCCCTGATTCTGTCTCACTAAACCCAGCCCCGCAACATAGAGGCTCTATCAAGCATAATTAATGACACATTTGTAATCATCATGCCAATAACCCTCTGTGGACCACGTTTTAGTGAACTTTGCGACTTCCCAATACTGGGCCACCCAAATGAAATAAGCATTTTCAAACATGATGTCTAACTTGATTCCAAGTGAGTTAGCTATTTTTTGTACTTAATGCAAGTACACTGCTCCATGCTTGCTCTTATCAAATCCTACTTAAAAAAAATCAAATTATGGTGTCACATATAAAAGTAGGAAAATAACCTCAAATAGAATTTCTGAAAATTTACAAAAAAACAATTGATGTAAAACTGATCATTAACAAGACCCATTGCTTCCATCTTAGTTTGCATGTGATGATGGTAAATAATCATAGATGGATTGCTTTAGCTACTCATCGTTTCTATATGGCTTTCGAGAATAGCAATTGCACTGACTACGTCACAGAAGAACGTTTTGATCGAAATTTGCAGTTGCTTGTTCCCGTGGTGCTGGGAAGGTATACAAAGGTCTCACGGAATGTTCATCACTGCCATACATATGGGTCAGTACTTCAGGCGCTGGTCTTCCAAGCACTCTTTCATCGCAGCAGACGACTTTAATTCTATAAAAGAACTAGCAGATTACTTGAATAGTTTGCATTACAACAACTCTGAATATCTCAGGTGAGCTGCTTACAAACTCTGCCCTTAGTTCATGAACCCTTGTCTTATTCAACGCCTTTTCTCTGCTGTGCATGCCTGTAAGCAAGGAAGAAATATTCAAAAGAGAATTTGTGTTACCCTTTGACGGCTTTGATTGAAGGGACAAATCATAGGTTGAAGCAACATAACCCTAATTCGATGCATTCCTAATATTACCGTTCTTCAAATGAGCCGAACCTTCTCAGGTATTTCCGATTGGATGTATACTTTTTGAGAGCCGAATACATATGTGAGCAAATGTCTTTGTAGAATTTGCGGAGAAATACACAATGGCGAAATAATGACCATAACCGATATCAGGAAGTATTACGAGGCAAACCAGTGCACCTCTGCATTACACGCACACAGAGTTCTTGCAGGAACGAGGATAGCGTATTTTAATTGAGCCTCTATAATGACTGTAATTATTGGGCAATACATAGTGACAAGAGCCCGGCACGAGCTAGCACGTATGAGTTTTGGGGAAGTGGGGGGCCGCTTGTTACGTGTGAGTGACAATGAAAAGTTGCAGCGACGCGGCGTTACAGTAACCCGCGCGGGAGGCAGCAGCAAAGCAGTAGCACAGGTACCTCGTCCATGTTTCAAACATACTAGACCACTAATTTATTTCGTACTTTCAACCATGTACCTTTTTGTCTTCATTCCAATCCTTAGTCATGATCGAGAGCGTATCAAAAAGCAAGGGTTTTAACATGGAAATCGCAGAATTAGTGGGAATATGCTTAAGGCTCAAGTTATCACCTTATTACAGGATGAAGTAAAATTTTTATAATCTAGATACATATTTTAGACTTCTTTGCCTTTTGAGAGAAGTTGGTTCTAGAAATTTGGGGCCGAATTCCAAATACATAGTAGACATTAATATAGAGGTACTAAAAACTTCATCAAATGGTGGAAAAGTGCGTTGCGTGTTTTAGTGGCCGAGTTCTCCGCGCTGGTTACCGCCAGCCTGTCATGCGCGGCTCCTATGTATAGTCTTTCCTAACCCACAGTAGGCGAAACAATCCAAATGGAGCAGCGCGCCTGCAACGTCACTGACTCAGCGAAATAGATTAATGAAGAGACGCAAACTGCAAAGCGGCGCGAATCGTTGCGAAAAGGATTTAAGCCAGTCCAATTTCCGCTTAAACTGAGTTGAAACGTATTTTACATGGTAGGGCAAAAGTCTGGAAGCCGATTTTGCAGTGTTATAAATCACGAAACTACCGATGCTTTTAATTCCAAATTTGTGCCACATAATGCTGCAATCATCCTTTACAAATTTCACTTTACCTAGCTAAAAACGGATGTCATATGTTTTGGTTAGAATTGGATTTATCAAACAAGTGCTTCTACAGAGCGAGAAAATCAAAATTTTCTAGTATTCACAGTTCATTCCGTAGCTAAAGATACAGTGAATACTCTAGAACATTTTGATGCATACAATTTAGAAGAGGTCATAATATCGTAGCAGTCGCATTTCACCAGAAACTATTCTTTTAAAAACGTGAAATAAAAATTTGCGAATATTGCGTGCCACTGGCCATTTGTTTTTAAAATAAATTTTGAAACTATAGGAGCGCAGCAGGTATTGAGTATAGGCTATATTCTTTCCATGGGTCTTCCGATAAGCATCACTTGATTTTGATTGATGAAGCAATTTCAGTACTATTTAGAATATGAGCATTAGAGTAGTTTCCGCTCCTATTCGCTCAATCGCATCCAAATTTCCAGTGTGTGAATACACTTGCCTTCACTTAAGATTTCAAAATTTTTCTCTTAATTGGTGCGAAAAAGGTTCCCTTGTTATATGTTGTAGACAAAAGCTTGCTCTATCACGCTGCACATTTGCCTGGTGAGAGAGCACTTATCGTGAAGGCGTTCCGACCGCCTGCGTGCCATGACAGGTGGACCTCCGAAGGGATGTTTTGAAGCAAGAGGAGGCAATCTCAAAATTTGAGGCTGCGGTGTACTGTAGAGGTTTTATTTATGTGTGCACCAAACTTTTAATTTCTAGGTAAAGTCGACTGCACGAAATCGCCCGGGTCGCTAGGCTGAGCGCACGCGAGCGTTCCCGCAACGCGGCCGCCGAGTACGTGCCATGATGACTCATGCGCGCGAATGCCAATGTTAGCCTGCAAGAGATACGAGCGCGGGCGTTCATTCCGGGCGATTTCGTGCAGTCAACTATGCTTTTCTTCTGATTTTATCGGAAAAAGTACCTCACGCGCAGCGATGCGCACCCATTCTGGGGATAAGTTCCCTTTCAGTTCAAAAAAATTGCGACACTCCTGTTTTCTAACAGCATGGAGAACAAAAATGTGACGAAACGCTGTTTGACAGCAGGAAAAAAGTCTCTACTCTTACTGCATTATGCGAGATTCATGATCAAAACGACTGAAAGACTGGCTTGTACTTATGTATCAGAGCAGGAAGTCACCAATGAGGATTCACTAGGGGCTGTGAAAAAGCGGTCAGAAAAAGCATGAAGCCGTTTTGATATTGCTGGTTTTTGATACGCAGATCAGACACATGTGAGGCTACTTGTACAAGCGAAAGTCGTAGCCATGTTACCAGCCCGGAGAGAGCATGGACGCAACGTTTGAGGTTTGGAAATATAGGCCCGTAGTAAACCCCCAGCAGAGCATCTCTCTTGAGGCAGACCGGAGCTGATCTCATCGCGCCTCAGTACATTACCAGGGGGCGATTGATTTGGAGCAGATCACTTACTGGACGTTTGCGTTTTCAAAGGTGCAACGTTTCTGCCACTTGTGCATTACTAGTCAAATGGATAAGACTAATGCGTTTCAAGCGGCAGAACCGTGGTTCGAGTGCGGCTAGCGGCACAATTTCTGCTACTTGACCTAGCGACCTTTGATAGCGGCCGTTATCGAAAAATCGATGATAGCAGCTATCAGAGATTTCACCTAGCAAACAACGATATAAAACAACAAATATACAATAATTTGGCGTTTATATAAAGAAAAACTACACTTAGCGAAGAACGAATAAATAGATAAATTCACCTTCTTGTTGTCTGGAGCGGCTCTTTGACAAAAACAAGCAACAACTGCAAGAAAAAAGCAAAGACATGTCTTTTTCTGATTTCGTCGCGCAATCACCTGTTCATCGATCCTCACTCACTTAGGCGCCCGAAATTGTGCAGTTTTGGGAGTTTTGCACCGCAAAAGAACGTCAGCTGCGGTGTTTCGTAAGTTACTCGGGAGCAACTCACGGAGGTTTTCTCTGTGCTCTCCTCTTTAGCACAGTATTTACCTTACGTCGTCACCCGGCTCATCTCCGATGAGTCAGTCGGGAGCTGATCTCCCTGCCGGGCTTCATCTGAAGCTCACCTGTAGGGAGATCTTGCATACTTACACCACGGAAATGTGGGCAGTCCTCATCTCAGCCGACAATGTCTCATATGAGAGCCTCAGGGAAGATCATCTCCCGTGACCAAGCTTTACTACGGGCCATAGTCTCCTTTAAGTGTACAAAATGTTATAGAACTCTCGTTGCTTGACAGCAGGGAGACCAAAAAGGTTGCGAGACCGTTGCCAGTCTAGTTGCTTTTTGAGCACCAGAGTATAAAGTTTTTAACTACGTTTTCTCAGCGGTGACACTGACGGGTGTTCCCAGATCTTCTTTCCGGAACTTTCTATTCGTTGTTCGCTATGTTTCCCCTCATATGCTTACAATGCGTTTAACGGGGCCAGTGCCGCGTAGTGCAGTCACACACCTGCGCACGGGCGCTACCGTACAGCATGCGTGCAGGGACCATGCTGCGCAAAGCGGCGTAGTCCTTGCTTTAACTACTCTTGCTGCTTCTTTTTGAGCTTATTCTCTGTCCTGCTTCCAAATTTTTGAGCTTTTCCTGTCTAAAACTCTACTTCAGTACTTCGTGAAATCTCTCAAAGTATTACAGCGCGAATGAAAGACAAAATAGAGG